GCTGCTTGATTTTCCCATTATTTGCCGCAGAAAATAAGCCGTTGCTCAGAATGACTCAATGTCAAACACCGTAATAAGATGCGAAATCACTCGCAGTTAAGAATATTCCTTTTAATTTGTGTGCTTGCCGTTCAACCTATCTAATGAGGCACTGAAATGATGAATGCTCAAGATTATTTCCGAGTGAATTGCTTCGAGTGAACAGTACGAGTGCGATTGCGTACGTCTTGAGTGCTCGTAATTTTTGTCGGAGGTCATTCGATGTCAACAAACTTTGAAAATCGCATTGTGTGTGATTGATGAACATGCGTAATACACATGAAGAGCTGTTTAAATCGTTGTGACTGTTAGAGGGAATCAGCTAAAAAATTGTCAGTTTCAAATATCTTATATGCAGTGTGCATTCGCGCAAAAAATCTGGTCTTGAACAGCGTTTCATTCGCAACAGAATTTTGATTTGCACTTTGAATTATTATAATGTCAATTTTCTCACTCACTCAAAATTTCCATCAAATTCCCACATATTTCTTTTGCATGCTTGAATGCACAACTGACCCATATTGCGAATTGGTCGAGTTAGTTGTTTATTTTGATTATCTTAAATAAATCATCATTATGTGAAAAACAAACAAATGACATACGATCACCATCAACTTCTGCCATCAGCATTGTTCATTGCAGATTCCTGCATCCGCAGTCAATCGACCTGCTTCACAGATGCTCGCCGGTGCACCTGGAATGGCAAGTGATTATATGCAGCAGCGAACAGCACCTCAACCAACGTCTGTTTATGATGTTGAACGGCCAGTTTCGGCACCAGGAACTGAAGATGGAATTCTGAAACCACAGAAAGATATCGTCTATTTTGATGCACTCTCACTGCTTTCGGTCTTTCAGGTTTCAGTTTTGCTCAAACTTTCTACTTCTGACAATGTTTGCTGTGATTAATCTTGATGGTAGAATGCTCAGTTTGATCTAAAGTTAACCTGTTATGATCGTTTCACTCATAATCTTAATCTGCAAAAAATTGATAGCGAATCGCCAGTTTCCTCATTGCCTTATCAATCGTTATTGCTTGAAGAAGCTGCGTGTTGTACTTGGGAAGCGTTTAAGTGAAATCAACACTTAAGTTGTTTGTTCACCTCAGGTGCTATGTGCAATTGTGATCTTTACGTGCGGAATGCTTCGACTAATCTGGCACGCCAAATGGGCTATCGGTGTCGAGTTGGCGTTCGCTGTATACGTTTTTATTTGTGGTATTATGGGAATATATGCAAACACAAAGAGGTCAGTATTGTTCTTTGAGAATGTGGTTGTTCATATATCAACCAATTGCAGAAAATGGCTACTGTAAACTCGCTAAAATTTAATATCAATCTTCGAAGTTGAAAAATTTGCAACTTGTTCAAGCCAACAGGGAATCACTTTCTTGTCCTAATATGTTCGAGAGTGCGCATTGATTGTAAGCAGTTTCAGATCTCATTGTGCCGCAGTTGGTACGTATGTGATGTCGGCGTTCGCTACTTTCGCTGCGCTTATTCCACTAATCCTTGGTGAGACACCCTGCCTAATGTCAAGATTTAGATCATTCAAAGTTGTAATCCTGNGATAATAAGTCTCTACTGTGATCAAATGCTTTCAAACGTTTTTATCTGAATATGAGATGTTAGTCTGGTATGGCTGTGAGGTTTTTCCTCGGTCTGAACTGTGCGATTTTCTAATTTCAGGTCTTTTCCCAACCATACCTCTAACATTTCCATCAGCTGATTCGGATTCGTTCGTTAACGAGGATGAGTCACGATTGGTTGATTACTTGCTCAGTTTTGCGTGTTTTGTTGAGGTGCGTTCTTGGCGATTTTGTTCAATCAGTTTGTTCGAATGTGCTGGAATTAGACTCTGATATTTGTTTTTGAAACTCACTGAGGGATTTCGGAATGAACTCATTTTTAACTCATCACATCGGTTGGATATGATTTGATGATGTGTAATGTTTCAGTTGGTTGTGGCGCTGATAACCTCAATTTACGGTTGTCAATCGATCGGCACAACAATGACGCATGTCGAGAAGTTGCGACTGAATGCTGATCTGAACGCAGCCTTCGAGTCGTCATCTACGTCGCTACCGAAAAGTTCCCAGCATTCGAACAGAAATGCTGCTGCTCTTCATCTCGAGAAGAAAGCGTCCTTGCAATTTTAATGAATCTAGTAGCGAGAAGCCGGAATAAATTATATTTTTTTCTATCAACTGTATCGTTTGATTACAATGCTGTCGACAGTTATGACAGCGTGCTCGTTGGAAATTCTGCATCATTTTCAATTTTTATCATTTATAANTGACGAATCAGTAGAATACTGAAGTGCACCGTTTCCTCTTATCACTACTTTATCAAGCAACACAACGTAAAGATCATATAAATGTGTACGATCACCATTTCATAAGATTTGCACATGCGTACTGTATTGTCTTATTTGCGTCTTCAAAAATGCCTATCAGTTTTAAACTGCTCTTTTCATCACTTATTTCTATGAGTACGATTGCTGTTATTATTCTCTGGTTTGTCATTAGCATTTCTATTCATTGTTACTATTATCATTACTATTACTGTTTCTTATTATCAGTATTATTATAATCATTATTAATACTACTTTGCTCACTTATATTCAGAATATTTATTTGTATGACTACCCCGTTAAATTGCGCCTTTTCGTGGATTCATCATCCTTGCAAATCATTTGTCTTTTGAGATTGTTATGAAGTGTCACATTTCATACGTAAATAAAAACTTATTGACTTGAATGATGTGCGTATGATTTGATGGAGTTCTCACATTTTGAACGGTGTATTTTAGGATTGGCATGAAGGGATGAGAAATTGTTCCAATAAGGTTCAGCCACAATGAAAGAGATTAACCAAAATAGGCAATCAGTCGTTTGAGCTCCTAGATTGCATGACTGACTGATCAACGAGGAAGTGAATCGTAAGCGAGTAGAACAAACTGAGCAATGACGGTTGAAGAGTTGATTTTGACAGGTGCTGATCAATCAATACTCGATCACTATTGGTTGTTCACATCCAGTGATGAGTAGTACCATCTGGAATCGATGATGACAAAACAGAACGCACATAGCATTCAGCAGACTTCAGTGTTTTTGTTGTTATGCAGACAATTCATTTGTGTGCAACGTCTGCTAGGAATACGCTCGTCTGAATCGAAATTTTCAGCAGCGCAGAGCTGTCATTTGGTCCGGAAAATAAACATTTTTCAATCAATTGATTTTGCAATTTGCGAATATTCTCGAGGAGCATCTCAAATCCTATTGTCATCCATCACAACTCAATTTTGAATTCTAGAGATGTCCGATGCGAATGATGACATGGGCGATTTGAGCGAGTTCATGGAATTCTTCCAGTCGTCACCTTGCTTCTTCGTGAACAGAGCGGCGGGGGTTTCCCTCACTGAAACACTGCCCACGTCTCCAACCACTCAAGGTCTGCATTTTTCCATTCTCGCTTTTCTAAAACTATGAATGACCTGAAATTTCGCAAGCGATGTCGTCGGTTTGGACAACGAAGGACTAGCAAATCTCAGTCTTTTTCAGAGAAACTGAATCCAAACGGTGCTGACGACTTGAGCACGTGCAGTAAGGACACGTCAACGGAATCGGTTACGGGCAGCCCAAAACACTCGCTACAAGTGATTGGTGCTTCCGCTTCCACTATTACAACACCAACTACGATGCCGGTGATAAGTGCAAATGTATCGCTAAAAATGGCTGCAAGCGATCAAGTTCACAACCTTCTCAACAAAGATGGACCAAGTGATCCGGTATTGGAATGCTCAAACAATCATAATGAATCTGTTGACTCACCGTCAGAATTTTGTGTTGATATTGGAGACGATAAACAATCTGATAGGTCGACTAAACGTGATGCAACATCGGCAACTACTGAAACAGCCACTTCGTTGAGAAGTGATAGTGACGGAGTTGAGAAATTTGTGATGGCATCATCAGAGGCGAGCAATTCTGCGCCCAGCAGCCAACGACACTTGAGTTTAGGGAGCAGCGATGAGACTGTTGACAGCTCAGAGACACAGTTCTCAGTGCACATCCCAAACGAACGTTCAAACGGATCACGCAATTTGGATGGCCAGAAAGATGTCAGAAGTTGTGTTTCTTCATCATTATCGGACAATGCTACCGTTCAGCCAGTGGCACAACCCAGCTCAGCACTATCTCCTACGAAGGAATCGAAGCGAAACGATATCAATCCGGGCCAGTCAACGTTGAATCGACTTTTGGACGCGCTAACTCACAGTAATGCTCAACATCACCAGTTCAAGCCAGCTCGATTGCAACCGATTGATTTTATTAACTTCTTCAACTTTCCAGAGCAACTGTCATCGGCTGTTACTGTTGTCCCGATGACAACTATCGCACATTCCACCTCTACATCAGCAGTCTACTCCACGCCAACCAGAACAAATTTAATCGCTTCAAATCCCATTATTGCAACAGGGACATTCCCCGGAACCAATGCGTTTCCCATGGTCGCTGCTTCGGATTCCGCAACCGCTTCGGTTCGAGCATTTCAGACAGCAGCAGCAACTGCGCCATTTCCAGCGTTTAATCCGGTCACTGCGGCCACACTTCTCGCCTCTTCATCAGCGTCATCCACCGACAGTAGACAGTTTAATCAGGCAGTGACCCAACTGCTAAGTGGTGGTCCTTTTTTGGGCTCGAATGCGCTATCGATGTCAGCCGGATTGTGCCCATTGCTCACACTATCACCACAAGCAGCAGC